TTAATCATCAGTAGAAAATTTCACCCTTTAAATCCGGAAATATTAAAAACTCCAATTTTTCACATTTCTAAATATAATTTGAAGATTTTTCCAATGGCGCCCAATCTGTGTTTTTTGATTAAATAACCTAAAATCGTCAAAAAAGAGAAATTCTTTGAAACAAGTTAAAAAGTATCAGTCGGTATTGCCGCCAGAGATATACCCTCAGCCTATGTTCGATTATCTAAATATATTTTGACTAGTGTTAAAGTTATTCAAACGTTTGACCCTCTATGGAGCAGATCCCGAAGGAATGGGCCAATATTGCCCATTTCCTATCGGACCCAAAAATATGATATAAATATTTCGACAGATGTGCCAAGTCTAAATGGTATCGGATGTTAATTTGACGATTTATGAGCTTCATGGGTACTCAAAATTGCAATATTTTGTGGGGGAGGTACCAGAAGGAGTGGACCGATATTGTTCCTCTTAACACCAGACCTTGGGTTAATATAAATATTGGGATGTGTGAAATTTGAAGACAATCGGACTCTTACATCACATTTTATGAGAGTTGTAATTATTCAAATTTTTGACCATTTGTGGGGGAGGTACTTGATGGAGTGGACCGATATCATCCATTTTCACACCTGACCTAGCACTGACGCAAATATTAGGATTTGCAAAGTTGGAGCAAATTCGGTTTATACTTTCTCTTTCTGTGCAAAAAATATATTTTTTGAAAATTTCGACCTTTTGTGGGGGAGGTACCAGAAGGAGTGGACCGATATTGCCCATCTCCGAACTCGATCTAAGTTTGACAAAAATATTACGATGTAGCCAATTTGGACCAAATCGGATACTCCCTTCGAGAGTTATCGTGCGCAACAGCCAGCCAGACAGACGGACGGACAGACGGACATCGCTAGATCGACTCCAAATGTTCTGAAACGGATTTGGTCCAAAGAGACCTAGGGTCTAAAACCGTTATTTCGACTAGGCACGTTTTGGCCGTAGCAAATGATATATACCCTCTGTAGCCATATGGCTGAGGGTATAAAAAGTGTGATTCTGTCAATTTTTATTATTATTTGTCCTGCCAACTTAGGGAAACATGACAATGTTTTTTATATTAGTTTCAATGTTTTTTATATAAGTTTCATAGTTGAAATTAGAATGTTTATTATCTCATCCAGTTGCACACAACTTAATTCGCAAGTGGCACCCGATCGGGGTCTTCTTCCTAGCAAATTAAAATTCCACCGTTTAAATGTAACAATGTTGAAAACTGATTTAGTTGGAACACAATTTTGTTTGGTTCCAATTGCTCACATTTGTGAATGTAAGTTGACGATATTTCCAATGGCGCCCAATCTGCGTTTCTTGATTATTTTGCAAGCTAAGATTTTATAGGGATTGTTGTTAATTGGGTAAGTTTTTAGATGCAGTATTCTAAAATAAAACCGAAATCATCTAAAAAGAAAAATTATTTGAAAACAAGTAAGCAAAGGCTATAGTCGTTCGGGGCCGACTATGTGATACCCTACAACACTACAATATGTTCGAAATCACTTTTGTCCAAATCAATTTTGGAAGATTTCGGTTTTGAACAAAAATAATGTCCCTGTTCTTAAATTCCGTGTGGATAAGTTTTCAATTGTGGCCTATAGAGCGACTACAAAATTAGAAAATATAATTTTTTTAGTCAATATGCACCTCTAAATGTTCATCTTAAGAACAAGAGGCTTTAATTTTGACCCCATGAAAAATTTCGTGAGGATCGGACGATAATTGCGACATGCATATAATACCCTCAAAACGTAGTGTTGGGGGTGTAAAAATTTAGAAAGTTTACAATTCAAAATTGTAAGTCAATTCGAAAAAATCGCATGCGATAAAAAATATGACAAAAATTAAAAAAAATCGACAAAAGATATTCACTTTTTTATTGGTATATTTTTTCCGCGAATTTCTTAGATTTTATCGTTTTCTGGCAAGAGACCATTCCGAATTTATTGGAATTGTGAAATTTTCTATTTTTGGTCCATTTTAACCCCTAAATATATTGCGGACATCTTTGATATATTGCGGACATCTTTGTCAAAATCGGTACAGCCCTTCTTGAGATATAAGCATTCTATCTAACATCCCTTTCATTTGTATATACACATTGTATATATTTCGCTATATATATCCGATATATTTATTATCGGTATATACGTAACGGTCAGGATTGCCCTGTTCGTCTATTTGTGATTTCGCCGGGAGTAAAAATATTCGCGGTTTAATGGAAAATTTGACTTTTATATAACACAAATGTTATAGTCTATTTCACCCACTAAATATTACCCATTTAGTGGGTAATAATTGGAAGGCTTCAGCCCAGCCCGAAGCTCTAGCCCCATGCTATTTTCCGTGTCGATTGGTCCATAATTGTAACCTGTAGAGCAACTGAAAAATCAGGATTTTTTTCAGTTTTTGGTCCATTTCGACCCCTAAATATTTTGCGATCATCTCCAAAAGAAATAGGGTTCTATTCTGACCCTAACCCCACCTCCATACTAAATTTCGTGAAGATCGGGCCATAATTGCGACCTGTAGAGTGATTACAAATTAACATGGACAGACGGACGGACGGACATACATAGCTAGATCGACCCAGTTCGGCGAGATAGGAAGATCCATATATACTTTCCTATGTGGGAAACCAATATTTCGAGGTGTTACATAATTTCTGGCCCAATCAAACTTAGTGTTGCAGGGTATAAAAAGCCTAATTTGAATTTTTCAATTGTTGGGTTTAACACTGAAGAGGACAACTTATGGTCTATTGAAACAATTAAACTCAAGCACCAAAATATTCTTGTGCCAAAGTTGATAATAGAGACTAGGAGAATGAACTAATGACTGAGGGAAGTCTAAGACTTACTCGAACTAGTTCATTTCATTCAAAATAACTTATGTTCCAAACGACGCAGATTAGTTTAGCTCTCATAAATTGATTAATAGAAAAATATATATCTTAAATATGATTTTAATGGAACAAAGAAACCCCCTTTTTGGACACTCTTTCCTACGTAATACCGAATTTACAAAAAAAATGTCCCTCAATTTGCTTTGTATTCAGCAGCGCTTGCGTTTAACATTCCGGTCACACAAATTGACAATAACTTTTCAAAATCAAAAAAAAAAAAAAAAAAACACCCTATAATGTCAGAAGTAATTCTAGCGAAACGTGACTAATACGAACAAAAATTCCCACAACTCGATTTAGAAATGAAATGTATTTCTCATAATATTCAGTTTCATTCGCTGTTTTCGGTTTTTACAATGGAAAATGTGCCTTACATGTAAGTGAGAAGATTAACGCTGTTAATATATACCCATTGTTCGGATGTTTAAGACAATTAATTATTTTTTTTTTATTTCGAATGCTTCAAATGAAATCTAAATCGAATGGAATTGCTGTCATTATATAGGAAAGATTACATCAAGCCGATGTTTACCTGTAATTTCCAACTGTCAATGACTTGGAAAGAGATAGCTGCTATCTCTATTTTGTTGATATCTCGATTCCACTTGCTTAATATCATTTTATATATAATTAACTTAATTACAACATATTAAATATTAATATGAATGTTGGTGGCTGGTTGGCTGCCAACGGCATCTTATTCATATTTTAATTGGGGGATGGGGTGAAAAGGGGGAGAGAGAATGTTAGGTGTCGGATAGAGAGAGAGTTAATTGATATCAAAGGTAATAATAAATTATTATTTTTTTTTCGCTGTAATATCGCTTATGATTTGCGGAAGTTGTTATTTATTTTTTTTTTCAACGCATTAAAATGTCTATAATTGCCCCATGCATAACCTTTCGATTATTCATAACCTCCAAAAGAAAGTTATTTTCAATAAATCATCGATTAAAGTTTATTTCCCAACGATTTATGTAATCGGAAATAATTTTTAAATCGACATTAAATTAAGTCATTTAATGCTGAATTTGAAAATATAATCAATTAAATTAAAGCCTTTCGCTTTTATAGAGAGACAAATAACTTAGGGTCCCAAATTGGGCACCACTTGAATACTTTATGAAATATAATAATCGACTTTTTATACACACCTATTTTATAAGAACTAGACAAACCTAATATTTTATCTGTTCCAGAACCTGCAAGAATTTAAAAATGTAACCTTTATGATATCGAAAAAATTGCAGGTTCTGGAACAGAGCAATTGTCTATTACCAATATCCTCCTTTTAGGTGGCTTGGTAATATTTACGAAACACAGATTGGGCGCCATTGGAAAACTTCACAACTTTAACTCACAAATGTGAGAACTTGACCACCGCACAAAATTGCGTTGCAGCTGAATCAATTCCTTATATATCTGCATTTTAAGCATAGAATTTTCTTTTGCAGTATAAAGAGACTCAGGTTGGGCGCCACTTTCATGTTCAGTTGTCTTTAAACGAATGACAAACTATTGAAGGTTCAAATTGGGCGCCATAATAATAAAATCCATAAAAACAATTTTTGTTTTTGGAAGGAACTCAGTATCTTAGGCTATTTCATTACACATCAACAATCTGACACAAAACTGAACACATTTCCCATATTCCCCATAAAATCATAGTTAATTTACAAAAAAAAAAAAAACGCAGATTGGGCGCCATTGGAAATATTCGCAACAAGATTCTTAAATGTGAGAAATTGGAACCCAACAAAGTGGCGTTTTAGGTAAATATTTTATTGATATTTCTGAACATTAAATCCTTCTAAAAATTCCAGAATATTCTGTCGTTTCGTGTTTGGGATTAAACTAGTTTAGTTGCTCTTTCGTTAAATTTAATCTAAGAACTTAAATGAATAAACGATTGTGATTGAACTAGTTCAGTCGCTCTTACCAATAAATCATTCAACAAATTTATATAAAAACATTAAAATCCTTGAAAATGTTGATAATTCCAAGAAGACTTATTAATTATTTTTGTTTTTTGTTTTCTTTCCAGGAATCGAAGTGAAGCAAGAAACCAAAACATTATAGGTATGACCTGTATAATTTTATAATATTTACTCGTTCACTCTTCCTGCATTTTTTATAATGACTAAGCGATTACGATGAAACTGATTCAGGACCTTATTTGATAAACTGTTACTTTGAAAATTTTTTTCTATTAAAATTTCTATTGTTTTGGGTCTTTTTTGAGGATTTAGGACACTTTTTTCCATTTTGGATTTGGCATGAAAAAAAAAAAATCGGGCAATTGTAGATTTGATAGCTCTAAACTCGATCATAACACTGTGCGACAAATTTAATTGTTTTCAATAATTACGGGGAAAATCTAGCTGATTATGAAAGTAGAGCTGAAAAAAGAAAAGTGATCGAAATAGAGGGGGACAGTTCCCCCTGTGTTAGTAGAAATAATGGGACGTGTGAAATATTAAGGGAACCGGAAGCTTATTTTAGATTTTATAATCGTTTTGGTTATACAATATTTTATGGGGGAGGTACCAGAAGGAGTGGACCGATTCACACCAGACCGTGAGTTAATAAAACTATTGTGATGTGTGTAATTTGAAGGCAATCGGACTCTTACATCATATTTTATAAGAGATATAATTATTCAAAATTTTGACTCTTTGGGGCCATTCTCTCACATGACTTAGCACTGATGCAATTATTGAGATTCATAAAATTGAAACAAATTGGGATGATCCTTTCTTGTTCTATACAGAAAATAATTTTCTGTGACAATGTTGCTCTTTTGTGGGGGAGGTACGAGAAGAAGGTCACCGATGTTTCCCATTTCCGAACTCGATCTAAGTTTGACAATAGTATTGCAATGTACCAAAATTGGATCAAATCCGATCATCCCTCCGAGAGTTATCGTGCTCACCAACCAGCCAGACAGACAGACGGACGGACACTCCTATATCGACTTCAAATGTCCTGAAGCGGATTTGGTGCAAAGAGAACTGGGGTCGATGAGGCTCGTCTTGGCCATATCGCTAAGGGTATAACAATCGGACGCTTATTTCGCATATTATGAGAGTTATATATAAATGTCTTGTTCTATGCAGAAAATTATTTTATGTGAAAATTATGACCTTTTGTGGGGGAGGTACCAGAAAGAGGGGACATATACTGCTCATTTCCGTGTTGAGGGTATAAAAAAATCAGACTTTTGGTGTAATCTGGGACCTATAGTAGAACTTTATGACGAATAATTTAGTAGATTATTTTGACTTGCTACGATCCAATTTAAAGGGAGTTTAAAACCATATTTAAAAAATAGTACCAAAAAGATCTTTGGAGTCTTGTATGTTGGTTAAAAATTTCGACCAAAATAATTCAAGTGTTGTAAACAATAATATTGTCTAAGACACTATAGACCTCAAATTCAAGGATTTTAGGAAATCTTCATCCAAAATTTTCAAAAAAAAAAAAAAAAAATTTAAAAACTTTCAAAACGCCAAAACGTCTTCTATTTGTAGCTCTACTTTTATTATCTGCTGGCTTTGATCGTCTAATAATTTTTTGTTTTCACTTTGTTATTTTTTCAATATTGATATCTTCGAATATAATTTCGAAAATTGATATTTTCTATTTTTTTAAATATCTTCAAGATCATTATTTGAACTTGACATTATTTTCTAAATGAAAATAAAAACATTTTTGAGATTACTTCTTCTTTGATTGAAAATTAAATATACCAATTTGAATACATTTCAATTAACCTTCAGCTATCAGGAAGATGTTCTATAGTACTCCAAAGACATGTTTGTTATTTGGAGGCCTTCTCATAACATTGTGGCTAAAGGGCATAATTGAACAGCAAATATAATTTATTTAACGACTTCAAGTGTTGTGGCTGAAGAGTAGCTTTGGGAATAGCATTGAAAAACAGCCGTTACCGATAAAATTTTTTTTGATGTTAAAATAATATCTTTTAAATTTTATAAAAATATATTTTTAAACCTGAAAGCACTTCATAACATTCCTGACTTGCTTAGAATATTTTATTTAGATTGAATCACTTATTATTACCACATATTGTGCCAAGGCAATGATAAAATCTCATTATACAAATAAGTAACATCTTCAATTTAAAACTTTGCTCCACTGACATCCTCAATTGCAAAGCAAAGAGCAATAAATCTCAATGGTGGCTCACATTCAATTAGCAATTCAAAATAATAATAATGAAAATAACAAATAACAAACGAAAAAAAAATAAAATTAAAATATCAAAGTCGGCTTTGATATTGACGATACCCCGAGCGCTGTGGTGGAATCTAACCAGCCAACACCTTGTCAAAGCCATATTTTTTCCTCCGTTCATATAAACAACAACTTGTCTAAATCGAATTGTTTGCAATTCAATATCAACTAAATTCAGAACTGCTAATGAATAAACAAACACCTCGTCTCCGTCATTTCCCCATCTACATACCTGTAGAGGTCGCTGGATTGAATGAATGAATGAGCAGATGACTGATGTAGAAGTCAAACACAAACAGAACACTACGGCGACCTCTTTCACGATTCTGAATCGCAAAACAAATGTTCATTCGCACCTCCATGCCAGTAGTCAATGGAGGATGTTCGCCGGCTCGTTCACTCGCTCAATTTAAATTGTTGCCTATACAATTGCCCGTGAAAGAGGTAAAGATGGATGGGAGAAGAGAGGAAGGGTAGTGAGAAGGGGTATGGACCCTCCCCAAACAACTGGAAAATGAAAACATCATTGAATGTGTTTGTAATAATAACAATAAAAACAAGTATAATTAACATCATCCAAGAATAGTAATCAAGACCAAAAAAAGAAAATAACTAAACTAAAGTGAATTGTGTTGTTGTTGTTGCTGTTCGAATAACAACAATTGTACACAGCCGAAAATTTTATTTTTAAAATGTCACATAATTTTTTTATATGTCTAACCATTTTGCATATCTGTGGACACAGTATTTTTTAAATATTCGAAAAAATGAAAATAAAATATTTTCGAAACTTTGGAATTATTTTCGAAGTTTTGAAAAAATAAAATCGGCGTGAGTTCAGATTTGCTCGTTTAAAACATACTCACAAGAGGGAGTACTCGAAGAGTAGGTGTGTAGTAGGTGGGTCATATAGGTCCACGTTTAGGTATATACTTAGGTGAGATGAAAAAACTGCAACCAATTCAGACTGCCGTCATTTCTAAGCCACTCGTCCGACAGCTGTTAAAATTATTCTAGTGACAGCTCATTATATTGTTTACAAACGTACAAAAGCATTTTGGTGAGAATTTTCCAGAAAAAAAGTTATTCGTGATGGAATTCAAGCGTGATAGTGTGACTTCTTTATATTTGGCTGGAAAACCACAAGTGGCTATCGTTAGAGGAGCACTCCACCATTTAAATGTGAATAAATCTTTTGTGCCTCGTACCTTCGCTCGTTGCCGTGATATTGGTAGCGTAGCCCGATGTCATGCGAGTGGACGGAAGAAAACAAGTACATCAGTAGAAATAGTAAAACTTGACCGATACCCGCGTCGTGGCCTAAAAGTGGCCTAAAAATGGCTCATGAACTGAACATATCGCAATATTCCATTCGGCAATATTGAGAAATGAGCTCGGGGTAGAGCCATCAGCATGAATTTCTATGTGGAATCGTCTGCAGGACTTTTGGTATTGAAAATAGCCCATATAGCACCACGTTTAGGTATAGCCACCATATAAGTGTACGTCGCTATATTCGGTATTTTGATGATTTTAGCGACATTATTCACCGGAATTGTTTCAAATTTCGTATTTGAACTTCCTAATGGGAACTTCAGTCTACGTCTATGAAAATTGTCTTTGCAGGTCCACGTCTTCCTATAGCCCCGTTAACTTCCTATATTCGGCATTTTTAAGATTTTAACGACATCATTCACCGGAATTATTTTAAATATCGTATTTGTACTTCATAATGGGCACTACTGACTGTGGCAGAAAATTGCTTATGCAGGTCCAAGTCTTCTTATAGCCCCCATATAACTGCACATGTCATATTTTGGTGATTTCAGCGACATCATTCACCGGAATTATTTCAAATTTGGTATTTGAAGTTCGTAATGGATACTACAGCCTATGACAGAAAATTGTTTATGCAGGTCCAGGTCTTCGTATAGCCCCCTTATAACGGTACTTCCCTATATTCGGTATTTCGTAGACTTCAGCAACATTATTCACCGTATTTACATTTGGTAACGTGTACTGCAATCTATGACAGAAAATTGTCTGTGCAGGTCCAGGTCTTCGTATAGCCCCCATATAACGCTGTCCCCCTATATTCGGCATTTTATTGATTTAAGCGATATTATTCATCGGATTTATTTAAAAACTCGTATTTAAAGTTCCTTATGTGTACTACAATCCATGACAGAAAATTTTTTATGCAGGTTCAGGTCTTCGTATAGCCCCCGTATAACGCCATCTTCCTATATTCGGTATTTTGATGATTTTAGCGACATTATTCGCCGGAATTGTTTCAAATTTCGTATTTGAAGTTCCTTATGGGTACTACAGTCTATGACAGAAAATAGTTTATGCAGGTCCAGGTCTTCTAATAGCAGCGACATTATTCACCTTAATCGTTTCAAATTTCGTATTTAAACTTCGTAATGAGTACTACAGCCTGTGACAGAAAATTGCCTATGCTGTTAAGATATCAACAGAATTTTTAACGAATTTTATTTATTTTTTAAATTTCCAAATTTCTTCCAAATGGTGGAGAGTATTAAAAGTTCGGCCCAGTCGAACTTACTGCTTTTTAACTTGTTTTGCAGGTTTTTTTCTTTGAAAATCGAGTGTAGGTTCTGCTTTGTGGCACGTAGCGATGTTTGTTCAAACCGAATAATTTCAATATCCTCCAACAACTTAACGGCTTATTTTCGAAAAAAATGGACCAATTATGTGTCTGGATCAAAATCCTCACAAAATAATACCTTGTTTTGGGTGCCAAATGGGTGCGACAATTTTACTTGAAAACATAGGAAGCTGATGGTACTTTTCTTTCC